TCCCCCGCGCCCCGTCACCCCCCCATCTCTCCGCCTGCCTGTCTGTCCATCCACGTGTCCGTCCTTCTGGCTGCCTATCCGGAGGGCATTGCCCCCTTCAGCTGGGCCTGCAGCAGGCTCTGGGTGGGCTGCTGTAGGGGATTAGAGGGGGCCAACCTGGCTCTCCCCACCAGCTGCTCACTGCGCTTCTATCCCTCCTGCCTGCAGAGACACCACCGCCCCCCTACTCCAAGGCCTCCCCCTTCACCCCTCCCTGGACCGAGGCGTGGGAGCGCTCCCTCTCCAGCTGCAACACTGGCGGCGACCAGCGCGGTAAGGCGAGCCTTGAGCCCTGTGGGTTGGGGTGCACCTTGGACCCCACAGGCAGGCCTGATTTAAGGGCGGGGAGAGGGCTGCGTGACTGTGTGCAAAACCCTGGGGCTCCCTGACGGGGCGAGGGGAGCAGTGTCCCCAGCTTCCCCACGGAGGAAGAGCTGTGTGGGGAGGGTTCCTGTCTGCGCGGCACAGGCGGCTCCAGCCCCGTCGGCTCCTGTTATTTTTGGCCACTCAGGCTCCCGCCAGAGGAAGTGCTGCCCACAGGGACACACACAATGTGTCTTGACGTACACAGCCGTGCTCACCCTGGCTGCTGGCCACCAGGCGCCTCCACGCCCCTGGGACCCACCTCCCCCTGGTCTTGCTTTGCCAGGACCCTGGCCCCAGGGAGGGTGGCTAGGACTGTCCGGCCTACGTGCTGGCTCACAGGAGCCCATGGTGACTCATGACCCCATGCTGGAGTACTGGGGACGCACGGCCCTGGGACATCCGGTCAGGGCGCCACGTCTGTCCGCGCCGGGAGGGGGCCAGAGCCTACAGCAGGGACCTGGCTCACAGGCTTCAGTGTCCAGCATTGTGACCCCCACTTGGGGGTTCATGCAGTTTAGCCTCCTGAAGTTCCTCCTTCACTTCCTGTCCCAAATGGTAGCTGTCTGTCTGCCCTGTCCCACCCCAGAAGCAGCTGCATCTCAGTGCCAAGTGAGGGGTCCCCATGCTGCACCCCAGCACCAGGCCATGAGCCCCCAGTGAGCCTCACCCTAGAGAGCTGCCAGGGGTCCCGTGTCCCACTTGAAGAGGCTCCACCGTAGTGCTGGTCCCACGGAGGTGCGGTGCTGGCACTGTGCCCCACAAGTGACCGGCTGGCCTTGTCTTTCCCCCGCAGACACCAGCCTCATGCGGCCTGCAGCCAAGGATGGGCACTGGTGTGAGCTGGCCTACTGGGAGCACCGCACACGCGTTGGCCGTCTCTACACTGTGCATGGCACCGCTGTTGACATCTTCTGTGAGCTGCCGCAGGGCAGCGGCTTCTGCCTGGGCCAGCTAAGCACCGCACACCGCAGCGTGGCCGTGCACCGGGCCCGCGGCAAGATCGGGCGAGGGCTGCGGCTGAGCCGGGAGCCAGGCGGTATCTGGGCCTACAACCGCAGCGAGCACCCCGTCTTCGTGCACTCACCCACGCTGGGGCCACCTGGTGCGCGTGGCCAGGCCGTGCACAAGCTGCTGCCCGGCTACTCTGTAAAGGTGTTTGACTACGAGCGGGTGGGCGCTGCAGCGGGTGGGCGAGCCCTGGGCGATGGACCCAGTGACCCCCACAGTGTTCGCATCAGCTTCGCCAAGGGCTGGGGACCCTGCTACTCCCGCCAGTGCATTACGTCCTGTCCCTGCTGGCTCGAGATCCTGCTTGACAAGCCACGCTGAGGCTCATGGGACGCAGTGGGGGGCAGTGCTGGGGGCTGCTCCCATGGCCCTGTGCTTGCCCAAGCAGGGGCACTCAGGCCTGCACCCCACCAGGCACGAGGTGTGACCCTGCTTGTGGGGCTTACTTGTGAGCCCACAGCTGCCCTCCCTGTATCTGCCCCATCTGGGGGGTGTGTAGGCAGGGCCATGGGGCCTGGGAGAGATGTTATTTAACCTCTTGTGGAAAAGGTAAAGTTTATTTAAAACACTCTTATTTTTGTAAGAAAAAAAGGAAAAAGGAATGAGAGGCCAGGGGGAGGGTCCTGGGGTGCAGGGGGTGGCCAGGGCACTGGCCCAGGAGGCAGGGGTCCTGAGGACATTGGCCCAGGAGGCAGGGGTCTCATCATGGGCAGTCGAGGGCTGAGCACGTCTGCAGAGGGAAGGAGGGGGTGAGCTGGGTACCAGGGCGAGGGCTGGAGCCTGGGGGGGCTCTGGGGCCCGATGCCAGGAGGGGTGGCAGGGCTGGGTGCAGCAGGCAGGGGAAGGACAGAGGGGAGGAGCAGGGCCCATCTCTGTGGCAAGGGGGCCAGGGCCTGGGGGCAATGCTGTGACCCTGCAATGGGCCCCTGTCCACGGGGGCCAGGAGCGGGGCCATGCAGGGCTGCAGAGGGGACTGGCCTCTGCACGTGGCATGCGCTGCTGTTTGTAACTCAATAAATGGTGCCAGCACCAAGAGAGCCTGAGTGTCACTGCAGCATTGGGCAGCAGCAGCTGTCCTGCTGCCAGGACAGCGCGTCTTGCCAGGACTCCCGGGGCAGGCTGCCCCCAGCACCATGCTCAGGCAGGTGCACCAGCCGTGTGGGGTCCAGGTCTGCGGTGCACACCGGCCCGCGGTGCCGGGCCTGGCAGGCCACGGGCTCATGCAGGGACCAGCAGTGCCCTCTGCAGGCCACGTGCCGCCACAGCCGCCCACTGCCGATGACCGCCAGCCCGGTCCTTCCTGCCACGCTGCCCGGCCCGGCATAGACGGCTGCGGCTGCCTGCCCCGGCCTGATGCCCTGCCTGGCACCACTGCCCTCGCCTCCCCTCGTCACGGCCGTGCTGCCCGGGGGAGAGGAAGGTGAGTGCCTGTTGGGTCTCCACCCTCCTGGCCAGGCAGGGTCCCATAACCCCCAACTGGATTTGGGCTGGGCACAAGAGCAGGCGCTACATTTGGCTGGAGGCATGAAGCTGACCCCCAGCAGGGCTTGTGCCAGGTGTTGGGGAGGGGGCACCCATGGGCCTCACTGCGGGCACTAAGGCCTCACCGTGGGCAGGGGGCCCAGACCCACCCTGGGGAGATGCACCCGCGGTCCCGAGTGCCAGAATAGAACTGACAGTGCCTAAAAATAGCGCTGGGCTTGGGGGGGCGCAGCACTGGGGCGGGCGCGGGCACGGGCAGCATGCGCTGCGGTTGGCAGCGGGTTCCTAGAAGGCAGGGGGCTGTGGCAGGGGTGGCGCTCAGGGGCAGCCGCCTGCCTGGAAGCGGGTGCCGGCAGCCCACAGAGCAGGGTGCAGGGCCTGCGGGAAACTGCTCGACTTTGAGAAAGCTGGGGGAGGTGTGCAGCTTCACCCACCGCAGGCACTTCCCTCCAGCGCCCGCCAAGCCGGGTTGGGGAGGGCAGAGCTGGCAGCCCCTGCCCTGGCACCAGGAGAGCCCAGCTGCCCTGCGGGGAAGGGAGGCCAGGCCGGTGGGCGCCAGGCCCTGGCAGTGGCTCTGGCCTGTGGGGTCTGTGCGGCTGCTGCCCAGATGCGGGGCCCTTCCCGGGTGGCAAGGAGCCGGCTTGGTGCCCAAGCAGGGGCCTGGCCTGGCCCGGGTGGGGCTGCGGGCCACAGGGGCTCCTTCCCCTCCTGCTGGTTCCTGCTCATAACCATTTCCCCTGCGGCGTCTATAAATAGCTGGTGGCGCCGGGGCTTGCGGTGGGTTTGATTTCGGCTTCTGGCGGCCTCATGGTGGGGGGTTGTGGGACGAGGCCCCCGTGCCTCTCGCCGCCCCCTGCTGCCTGTGAAGTGGTCGTGGTGCAGGAAGTCTCTCCCCCGCCAACCTCGGCGCCACTGGGAGCTGAGCCAGGCCGCGGGGGGCTGCGCAGGGCCCTGCCCCATCTCGCCTGCCGGCACTCCCTGCGGTGCCCCCAGCCAGCCGGGCCAGGACGGTGGAGCCTGCGCCTCGCGCACGGGTCCCACGGTGGCCCCCACCCCTGGGTGCAGCTGCACAGCCCTGGAAAGCGAAAGCAGGAGCTGTGGGAGGTTTCAGGCCCCGGCGGCCCTGGGAGGGGATTTTCTCTGGATTTCCCCCTCTCCCACCTCCCTGCCACGCGCCC